CCCCCCCCAAACCCTCCCTGTCCCCAGAGTCCCCTCACGATTCCCGCCATGTCCCCAAGTCCCCCTCACGTCACCGCCATTTTGCCCGGCCCCCTCTAGCGCCCCCTTCACCGCGTCCCCTTCACCCCCGGGTCCCTCCGCGGGGTCACCGCGCTGTCGCCACTCCCCGTTACCGGCCGCTGTCGCCTCGCTGTGGCCTCGCTGTCCTCTCGTTGTCCCCTCGCTGTCCCCGCTGCGGCCTCGGGCCCTGCTCGCCGCGGCCGCCGTTGCCCGAGGCGGGGCTGTCGCCATGGCAACGGCGGCGCTTCCGGTGACGCCGGAAGTGAGTGCGGGCAAACCCGGAAGTGCCGGGATGGGGGCGCCACACTCAAGATGGCGGGCGAGGCGAGGCGCCCCCTGGCGGACGGAGGGACAACATGTCTTTTGGGGGTATTTTGAGGTATTTTGGGGGGTATTTTGGGTGTATTTTGGGTGTATTTTGGGGGGTATTTTGGGGAGTCTTTTGGGGATATTTTGGGTTTATTTGAGGTTAATTGAGTTGTATTTTGGGGATATTTTGATCTATTTTGTGGGTATTTTGGAGGTATTTGAGTTGTATTTTGCGGTGTATTTTGGGGCGTATTTTGAGATATTTCGCGGTGGATCTTGGGTTGATCCGAAAGCGTTTTGGGGCGTTTCGAGGATATTTTGGGGGTGCGTTTTCTGATATATTTGGGGGATATTTTGACCCGAGGGATTTGGGATCCCCCTGGATCCTCAAGGGATGAAAGGGACCCCTCAATTCCCACGGCAGAGCCCCCCAGTAATGGGAACCCCCACTCAGTGTTCGGGTCCGGTTCGGGCAGGTTCGGGTCGGGACGGGTCCCTTCGGGTTCTGTCAGGTGAGTTCGGGGCTTTTCGGCTCCTCTCGGGTGCGTTAGGTTGGGTTCGGGTCATTTGGGTCCTGTCGGCTTCTCTGGGGTCAGTTCGGGTGGGGTTGGGTTCGATCGGGTCGCTTCGGGTTTCTTCGGCTCCGCTCGGGTCAGTTCGGGTTCANCAATTCCAACGTTCCCAATGGGAATTCCCAAGGATTCCAATGGTGCTTCCAAGGATCCCAACACCAATTCCAAGCCTCCCAACACAACCCCCTGCACATCCCAAACGCCTCCACCCCCCATCCCTCCCACCCCCCAAAAAAACACGGAATTCCCCCTAATTCCCAAAAAAAACCCTGGGAATTCTGACATCCAACCCAACCCAACCCAACCCCACCTTCCTCGGCGTCGTGCCGGGCGGCCGCTTCCAGCAGCCGCACGCTGGCCGGGAACGTCACCCTCCTGCCGCGGCCGCTGCTCTTCCTCCTCCTCCTCTTCCTCTCTCCTCCTCCTCCTCCTCCTTTGGGAATTCCTGGCATCTCCTTTTCCGCCTGTGCCCATTTCTTCAGCTGCTGGGCCCGGCGTTTCTGGGCGTGCCGGAGCCTCTCGGGAGTGCTGAGCCGGCAAACCGCCGGCATCTCCGCCAGCAGCTCCTGGTGCTCCGCCATGTCGGGAAATTCCGGGGAAAAAATCGGGAATGAGGGGTGGGAGAAGCGGCATCACCACCCCCCTCCCCCTTTATTTGATTGGTGAGGTGTGGGTGGGTGGGGGGTGGGGTTTATCCCTCTATCCTGAGGGTTTTCCCGAAATTTGGGGATGGTTGGAGTTTGGGAAGCATCTCCCCTCTTTTCTCGCCGGGTGTTGTCGGGGGAGGAGAATTTTCCCGCTCGGTTCTCCCGTTTTTCCGCCCTCTGGATGAGTTTCCTGAGCGTCCAAGGGTTGTGGGAATGTTGGGAAGATGCTGTGGGATGAATCCTAAAGAAAGGGAAAATATGGGATTGTTAAATCCAGGGAGAGGCTGGTGACCAACCCGGTTTTCCCGGTTTTCCTAATCCGGGATTGACCTCGAATCCAACCAAAATTCCCAATTTATTTTAAAAAAAAAAAAAAATGGAATTTTTTAATTTTTTTGGGGGGGTAAACGAATCGCTAAGAAAGTTCATCCAAAGGGGATGGATCCAGGAGAAGGAGAAGGGGAAATAAAATTAAATAAAATTAAAATTAAAAAATCCGGGAGCGCCTCCGCCCCCACGGGCAGGGCCGGGCAGGACCGGGCGGATTCCGGAGGATTCCGGCGGAGCCAGATTCCCAAACCTCTTTTCCTTCCTTCCTTCCTTCCCTCCCTTCTCTGGAATTGCAGCCACTCGGGCAAAGTCCAGCCAGGGAAAGGGG